CTGTTGGGTGGGAGCCACAACTGCTGCCTGCCCTCCTGCTGCTTTCACCTGCCATCTCTCCTCCCTCCCACCCCCCAGTGCTGCTTGGTAGGGGTGTGCAAAGCGGGCCCTATTTGGATTCAGCCCGATTCAGGGACAGTGATTCGATTTGTTGATTCATATCACTGTCCCCAATTGGATTCAGTCGAATCCAAATCTGAAGATTCAATGCTGATTCAGAGAATCAGTGATTCGGACACAGGCACAACTTTAAATGTTTTTTCTACATACCTTGAGGTAGCAGGTGCAGCTCGTGATTGCTATGGTGCAGGGGTGGATGGAGCATCCCACAGGAGTGCTGGGTGGCCCTCCACATGCTTGTTGGCAAGCCCAGAAGTGGACTGGAAGTACTTCCGGTCTTCTTCCAGGTCTGCTGGGAAGCACGCAGGGGGCCCCCCTGTGCCCCCCTGACTCGGCGATTGGCCGAAGGGGGACCCTGGGTGCCCCCCACCCAACCCAAGAGGCACCAATCACCGAGCTGGGAGAGGGTGCAGGGGGACCCCCCTGTGTGCTCCACAGCAGACCCAAAAGTAGACCAGCAGTGCTTCTGGTCCACTTCTGGAAATGCAGCCAAGCGCACTGGTAAGCCATTTTTCTATATGCTACCTAGAGGCATGTAGGAAAAACATTTACAGCTGTCTCTATCTCGGAATCTTTCTGAATCGATTCAGAGGGTTCTGATTCGATTTGGAGAGATTAAAGGGTTCTCTGATTCAATTCAGATTCAGAGATTTGGCCACTGAATCAAGCCGAATCTCTGCCGAATCGAATCAGGGACCGAAGCTTTGCACAGCCTTACTGCTTAGCCTCTAGCTCCAACCCAGAATGTGGAGCATGTGATTGGTCCAGGCCCAGCCTAACCTGGTAACAGCAATAGCAGGGCAGAGGTAGTGGGGGTTCAGGCAGCAGCAGGGACTTGATGGGAGGGACAGGTACCAAGGGGTAACTTAAATTCAGAGTCATCTTGGATTCAGGTAAATACAGTAGCCAAGAGTTGAGTCACATTTTTTGCTCTGCCAAAATAGTAGTTCTTAAAATTGATTACAGAAAAAATGTAGAGAAGATACTTGCTTCCTACATTATTACGCTATTGGAGACGTAGCAATCTAAGGCAAAAAAAAGTATCAAAAAGCCTGCTTCCTTCCCATAATATCACCCCTTTGATGGAATTGTGGTAAAAATACAGGGTCAGGCATCTAGGATCAAAAATGTGATTAGAGGATGCAGGACTTCACAGAGGATTTAGGGGTCATGGTGGATAACCTGTCAAACCTGAGTTGCAGTGCAGTGGTATGGTCAAAAAGACTAATGCTATCCTTGTTTAATTAACAAATTATTGAAGGAAAGGTGGTTCAAAGAGGTGGCTTTGGTTTCCTGACACCAAGCTGCCCTATACCATTCCTAGCTGTAGCACCCACTCAGGCAGGGTAAAGAGCTAATTTGTGGCACAGCTGTCAAAAAGGTTGGCCTCCACTCACTTAAAGCAACATGGGGGTTGCTCAGATTATGTGCATGCTCTAAGGGCCTGAGGATTGATGGAGTAGATAGAACTCCACCACACCCTTAACACATGGGCTCTGTGTGTGAGACCTCAGCACGATAATCTGGTGACGGTCTAGCTCTAGGAGCTCTAAAAATTGTAGGGGCACAGCCAAAGCACAAAGCTCACAATGCTTTTGCTTGGCTTTTAAGTTCAAATTACTTCTTTGTTGGGAGAAAAAAAAATGGTAGAATGGATTTTGATCCTACTTTTTAATAATGATTTTCCTTTGAGTCACAGTCCAAGTATGTGTCATCTGAGGCTAAAAGAATTATTGTGAAGAATTTACTGTTTAAAGGCCAGTACTTGACCATGAGCTGTAATTATTTTTGTCGCATTTGAAATGAGTACATTTTAATAAAGAAGCGAGATATTTGGACATATTTCAAAATGTAAGAAAATTAAGTAAGCACTAATATAAATTTAATTCAAATTTTAGAAGGCATTGGTAATTTCCTAGCAAAACATTTCAGTTAATTTTAACTCAATGGTGTTTTATTTTTACAGTGGGTGCATGTACACAAGGCATTTACTGTGCCTTGTCTAGTCTAATTAGCTCCACAGTAAACATCTCATCATCTACACGTGCAAGACTATTAGAGGCCGGATTAAACTAATAAACGCTGCAGCCCAGTAATACTTGTAAATATAAGTACTGTCATGATACAGAGTTTTTTACTCCACAGCACCACATGTGTAGATGCTGATGCAGCTGGCTGGAGCACGAGGGTGCTTTAGTGTGGGGGCTGCCTGATGGCTAGCCCCATACTGAAACACCCTCATCCCCCAGCCAGCCTCTCCACAGCATGTTGAGCTGGGCAGGAGCAGCCTTGGGCCGGCAAGCTGACTCTTGGGAACCCCTGCCAGACAAGGCAGCTCTGACCTGGCTCAGCGTGCTCCAGTTCTGGGCATACATTCGAACGGCGCACCTGGGAGCAATAAAGTGTCGAGCTATAAATTCCGGAGTGTATTGCTTTGTATTATTTGCAAGTGTAGACGAGCCCAGTGAAGAATTAAATATCTTTTCATTTGGAGCCTGGTTCAAATCCTGTTGATATCTACTGGCTTTTATGAAGCTTGGGTAGCCATAAATGTGGGTGCTTTTATGACAGTCTAACTTATGGGAGGGTGGAACTGAAGTCGAACATCTATTTTGAATCAGGTATTACTTTCTGACTTTTTCAGTGGAAGTGAAGAAGCTCTATCCAACGAAGACTGTGAGAATGTTTATCACTTGGTGTATTCAGCACACCGGCCTGTTGCAGTAGCAGCTGGAGAGTTCCTTCACAAAAAGTAAGTTATCCCTTGCCCTGGTATGAAAAACAAATTAATGAGACCCTGATATGAAGAAGTGGCAAGATGGTATATGTTAAGTATAGTCTCAGTTCAGCAAACCAAATAGATGCTTAATTTTAAGCCTTGACCTCAATGGAACTACTCACATGCTTAAGTTAAAGACCTACTTAAGTAGTTTGAAAAATTAAAACCTATGTAATACTTTTCATACTGGAGAATTCAGGTGATTCTCATAGTTTGTCAAGGTACATAAAAGAATAAACACATTGTTGTAGACATTTTGTATTAAAATCTAGTACAACTCCTACCAGATTATCATTATGGCCTCTGATAATATAAAGTGTCGTTATCTCTTTCTGCTTGTTATACACAATTATTGGTTTTATACGTGTTTTATCTGAATCATGTTTGTAAGATACCATTTGATTTCAAGATTGGTAATCTTAAAATTGCCTTTTTTTTCCATCTACTTGAACATCAGAAATGTTGGGGTTTTTTTCTTTTCCTCCATGCTTTTGAATAGCACAAGGGAGCTGCTGTCCACAGATGCTGTAAATTAAAATAGTGCCATAGCAGTCAATAGAATATTATAATATTATTCCAGCTGATGATCTGATCCAGTAGTATTAAGAGTCTGAAGTCTTTTAATATTCATTTCTCCTTCCTCATTTGGGGTTAGGGCATAAAATGGTTTAATATTTTTACACTTTTTACAGCACTTTTATTTGAGAATTTCTTTTAACAGATTTTTATAACAAAAATATTTTTGAATATAAATTTATATAAGCAGCAGTTTACTTAGTGATTTTTATCTACTTACAAGTTTTTATCTAAAGAATGCCCTTGGGTTTTTCCTCCATTAAATATCCTCTTTGACCACTCATGAAAGAGATGATTCTCCTTCAAGCTGTTGTCTACCTGCGCAGTCTCATTTGTGTGTATGTCTGATGCCCTGAGCCTTCAATAGCAGCCTTTTTGCAATGTAGTCCCACCTCCCATTGTGCCACTGTATCAGAAGGATAAAATGAATCGAGGTGACCTAGGAATCTACCAATGAAAGGGAACAGAGGAGTAGGTAATATGTGCTGCCATGTATTCCTTCAGTGTGGGAGCACCAAGGGAGGTGGGGCTAAAGCACACTCACAGGGTAAATTAAGATGAAATATCTCTGATTGCAAATTCAGAATATGAGAAATACCCACATGAGAGATCAAGTATGTGGACAATATATTTCTAACTCCAGTTACTTGGAAGTAATTTCCTTTTTGCACCGTTATGGTGTCAGTCTGTTGGTATGGAAAACCATGTGCTGCTGCAAATTCAGTGAAAGGAGTTTATTCTTTGATGCAGTATAGATCATGGAGAGGTGTTAGTTCTGTTTTATACACTGTACTAAAATATCTTTGATAACTAGTAAATGCAGGCAAACAAACTCATATATATGTGTTTGTGCACATAGACAGATGGAGAGAGAGAGTTTGTCTAACAAACCATGACTATTTAATCCAGGGCAGAAGCCTCTTTTTAAAACAATTTATTATCTTGTATCCAGTTCTTCTGGCTCCATAAACTTTCATACTCCAGAGGTGAACAGAAAAACAGAACTGTTCGACAGTGTTGAGTAAGAAAAAGTTGTTAATATAAATAATATAGCTCTTCTT